TTGCTATTTGGGCATATGATGCAATCCTGGCCAACGCAATGGGGAGCTAAGTCTGCTGGAAGAATCTAGGAAAAGTTTTCCTTGATCTTACAAACAGGACTAAAGATAGGATGCCCTGGATGCTGGTCTTTGGCTCTCGGGATGCTGTCTTATAGGAAGTGATGCTTAGAGCTGTTGGCATTACAGAAAAGTTAACTGAGAGGCCTGATGCTGCAGAGCCTCAAAATGCACTCCAGAACAACCCACTTCTGAACTTCTCAATAATATAAATCCAAATTATAACCAGTATCAGCATTTTAGCTAGACTCTATTTTTTATCTAATCTTCAAAATCAGAAAATATGGTATTAAGAGAACAATTGTTTACTACTTTCTAGATTTTTCTGTGTTCTTTATATATACTTGTTACATAACCAGCCAAGAATGATGCCCTTAAACTTCACAAAAGTGCCATATATAAGGTTCTCTGCTATTTTTTCTCTGACTTTAACGCACGTCTTTTTATTCACATTTCTCATACAGCTTTTCCATCTGCTTCCTTTAGACTTAAACTATAACTGAAGATATTATTGATGATTATACCCTTCCAAATTTTTTGTGGGTTTGTGCATAATTGATCTCAACAATCAATAAAGCAGTAAAACATGATGCAACACTTATTTTCAACTTGCTCCTTTTTTCCTTTTATACAATTTCATATTCGGGGAATATCTTTCCCTTGCCCACATACTTTGTACCTGGATGTTCTTAAAAATAAAATTCATGGCTTTTAGAGACTCTTCAGGATATTACTTTAGGACCCTTAAAATGATTGAAGAGGATTAATCTATCTTCTTCTGCACTATATTGGTAGTCATTATCTAGCCTCTCTGCCTAGATAATTTAAGATATTAGGCCATTGAGCTGCATATTTTACACAGCTCTTAACTTACCAGTTTTGTGCAAAGGAGGTTCAGATTAAAAAAAATTACCTTAAAATACATTTCTCAGAAAATCTCATGTTGAAAGCATCAGTAAATATCTTGGCCGGATAAGCTGATGGGCATTGTAGCTACAAGATGACAGATTTTATCCACCCTCCCTCCTCTGGAAAAAAACAAAAACAAAAACAAAACACCCCGGGTTTTGCTTTAGATTTCTAAGACCAAGCTAATAAATATGTAAATTAAGTGAGAATACTTGTAGTTCATCTCTAAGACACCGAAAAAGAGCACATTATAACTTCATTGAGTACATGGAGGCACCAAGAATGTATGGCTAGTAAAGAGTATTCTTATAACTGCCAAGAGGGAAATCAGCAGAATTAAAAGGATAAAGCTTTTGAAAACCTCATCTAAACTGTCTAGTACGGCAAAGAAAAGAGAGCTATTCCAAGTAGATTTCAACCTGCATTAACCAAAACGGTATTTTAATGTTACAGCAGATGATTTCCGAATGAAGTTTATTTTTATATTTTGTCCACACCTTTATGATTTATATTCCTTGGAAGTTGCATAGGCTGACATAATTTATAATTTAATTTAACTGAGGTATTATAAGGCCCACATCTCAGTAAGCTTCAAAACTGCTAATTGGGATAATAGGAAATTACTTGTCTTCTCCCAAATGCCAGTGAAGTAGGTCAGGATAATTAATATGCAAGCTGACTTTTCAGTCAAAGGAAAACAAGATAGGTCTCATCTGTGTACTTTTAATACCATCCATCTTACACCAAAATGAGTTCAGTCTGTGAAAAATCATAGCATGATTCAGTTAAATAACTGAATTTCAAAATAAGAGAAAACATAGTCCAACCATGAGAACACAGATTGAAGACAGTTCTAAAGGAGGCTAAACTTACACCTCATAAGCAGTGAAATTAAAAAAAAAACAACAACATCTAAGTCACCGATTTAGGTACATCTTGCTTTTTATATTGCTTTGCAAACTTGTAAGCACTATATAATATATATATATTATATAAAGTTAAGGTAAATATAAATGATAAGAGAGGAGTTTGGTTGATGACATAATTCTTCATCCGTAAAGCAGAAGGTAGGCTATATTTTCACATTTTCTTCCATTACTCCTGCCCACTTGCCTGATTGCTTCCTCTTTTTCATTTCTTGGTAAACTATGAAAAAATATTTGGAGCTAGAGACACGAGACTTACTTCCCCTGCAGGTCTGTACTGGATTAGTGCAAATTCACTTTAGTAGGTCAAACCAAATGCTGGCCTCGAGCTGGACAGTTAGTAACACACCACTGCTGGGCTTCGTCTGTAACAAGCACAGGTGCCCGCCAAGCTGTGGGCAGCAGGGTGAGTGCTCCGTGTCAGAGGGCCTGCCACCAGCCTGGGACTGATGGCGTGGCCACGGCTTCTTTGGTGCCTCTAATTTTGGCTCTGTTGATATAACACCCAGCAGCTCAATTTGAGTAAGAAGCCTGGAATACGGGCTCCTAACGGCCAGCCCGGGGCCGTCACGAATACAACACCCTTTAACTAGACCTTAAGAATTCTTTTGAAAACACTGATTCTATAGCTGATTTTCTCAAATGACGTGTTCATCAAATGACACACTCCTAAGTGTTAAAAACAGTAATGCAGAAAGTCCGTCATTAGGAAAGTAAACATACATTTCGTTAAGTAAAAAGCATCTTCTACTTGGCAACCATGAAATGCACGGCTCTGCTGAGAATGGTCTGAAGAACACTGACACATCAAGTGGCAAGATTTGGGGGAAAATGCCCAGAAAGAAACGGGGCCCTGAAAGACAGTGCATGGCCTCCTCTCGTGAAGCAGATCCAACTGAAATAGCATCAACTGCCCCCACGATATTGAATCATAAAGACCAAATGTGCAACACTAGATTTATAGACACACTTCCTAGGGTTGTTCGGCCCTATTCCAATTGTTCCACAAAAAAAAGAGCCCCCGCAAGAGATGGACAATACCGAAGAACTGCCCACTTGACTCATTTGGGAACCTGAAGGAAAAACCCACCAACTTAGGAGTGCATTTATATAGTAAAAATATATCCAACCAACAAAACAGCAAAAAAGAGACACTAGAAGAACGAACTCGAAAGCCATCTAACTACAGATGCTCTGTGGGCTGGGTTTTCCTTTCAGGCCCGAGGACGTGCCTTCTCCTCTCCGGTACTCCCTCACTCATGGCCAGGAGGACCTGGGAAGTCACTGGCTTAGGCGAGAAAGACAGCATCAATGACTTCTACCTGCGACCACGAGGAGATGTTTTCTGAACAGAATTCTCTAGTCCAGAGGGCTGTGCAGATGTCAACACCATTTATTTTAGCATGGCAGAGATAAAGTACTTTCCCCGCTATGTTGGTACAATACTGAACAAACCTCATACAGTTAGTTACAGCAGTTGTGCAGCACCTGGATGACCATCGAAACGAAGTTTCTAACTCAGCTTTAAATTTTAGAAAGCAATGGAATAATTTTGGTAAACATCGTAACCGTAAAAATGTATTATCATGCTTGCCAGAAGTCCTACAGAGGCCTAACATGGCTCCTAGATATTTCTTCCACCAGACTCCTCCATAATCTCTGATAAATGTGAATGCTGGCAGGCCTTGGCAGGTAACAGATGGCAATTACATTCTCCTGCACCGATAGTATACCTTTTGTAATGCTCCTCATGGAGATTATGGCTAAAATACACTTCACATGGAAACTGCTTTAACATATGAATTTTATTACAAACGACTCATATTTTGATGGTAGAAGATATAATTTAATTCCCATTAAATAATGCAATGAAGATCCATACCACAAAAGGAAGTCTACTGTATTTTCTTATTAATCATCTCCAAAGTGACACTCATTTTAAATAAGCCAAGCTTAACATGGCGATGAGGCTCCTGACCTGCTGGTTCTCTGTGAGCTTTGAGTTGTTTTTCCAGTCGTGATGAAGAACTTACAGTAATATATCCCACAGTCAAAGTTTTGTATACTCACAAAACGGGCTGATGGATATAGTCTGCTTGTATCCTTTAAAAAGAGAAATCTAATGCTCTAGTGGGACCAACCCAGCAACTGTGGTTTTATCAACATTGGCTTGGGACATCTATACTAACTGGCCCATACTTCGTTTTGAATAAAAACATGCAAACAGTTTTATACTACTACTTTAACACTATTTTTTGGGTGGTAATTTTACATTCAGGACTTACAGCCAAACCTAGATTTTCTTTCTAAGTAAAAAACTTGAGTTCTAGCCTTTCCCTTAAAATAGGCTGGGTTTCTGGACTGGTGTAGCACATTAATTATAAACAGATGCTTGGTAAGGCATGTTGGATAAAGAACTTGATAATTAGTAAACATATTCTTAATGCCAACAAGTCAGAGGATTACTTAATTGACTTTGTCTCTCTTAAGAGTTGATTCGCATAAATTGAGTTTTGCAATCTGCATACATACCAAGAAAGTAAATAAATGCTTTTGGCAAACTGGTTATTTCAGCTATTTGGAGTTGATAGGAGTGCTATTTGGAATTTCTTCTTGGAAAAACTCTTCTGAATTTTTCCTTTAAATCCTTTAATGGTGGAAAGGGAAGTTGTATATGTGTGTGTGTGTGTTCACTTACATATTCAACCAAGGTTCTGCTAACACCCTGCTTCAACCATTTAGTTTCTTAGCCCAAACTCAGGGGGCAATGACTGTGGACCAAAGGGATGATGCATGCAAGGGAGAAGAAAGTGGATAACAGGAGGAAGGAAAAGAAATGACTATCATTAACCTTAAAAGGCAAATGAGTAACTGGGGAAAACCATTTGCTCTAGCTTTGGGTGTCCTGGGACATAGGCTTCGTTATCCATCTTTTGTCCCCTACGTTACTCAAGTTCTGAAAGTAAAACACCAAGAGATACCTAACTTCCTGGGCAGCAAGACCATTATTTTAAGAAAAAAGGGAAACAAGATTCTATTTTCTTCAAATAAGAAGTTTGGAAAGGTTAGGACTCTGCGTACACAGGCTAAGGTCTCCAGCATACTTACTTTTGTCTCCTATGTTTTCCCCTGCCGCCTCCCCTTCCTCCTCCTCCTCCTCCTCCTCTTCCTCCACCTCTGTGGGCTGCACGTCATCCTGCGGGTCACAGGCACTAACCGGTGCGTTCAGACAGCAGTGGTTGAACCCGCTATCTCGAGGCAGAGTAAAACTTCGAGGCTTGCCCCCATTTCCATTTAACACTTGCATCCTCTCGCTCTCGGCCAAGGGGTACGGCCCATAGTGATCCTGTAGGTGGCACTTCTGAGTTGGAAGAGTGGACTGTCGCCTGTGCTCTGGGGAGATGGCCGCGGAGTCAGAGAAGACAGAATCCTCCAGGGGCAGAGTCTGAAGATAGTGTAATCCTGAGCTTGTCAGGGGCGTCTCGATTAAATCCTGCCAGGAGCGGCGCTGACTGGCTGTCTTGCGAATGGGGGACACCGCACTGCTCCCGGTCACTTCCTGTCGAAACTCCTCATGGGAGGACTGTGACTGGGAGGTCTCAGTGGACGAGAGCCGGCTGTGTTTTGCTTCCACGTAAGGACTGGCACAACTCATCTGTGGAAAGGAGCTTCTGATCAGTCTCCACAGAAATAACGGACCACCTCTGTCAGCAAGGCACACATTAGATTTCCACCAGCTAACATTTACCAGTCAAGTTAGTGACTGGTCAAGTTTACAGACATCTCAAAGTTAGGCCCCGGCTGATCTTTTAAGGGACTGAGATGGGGAGTGTTTAAATGCAGCACTACCAGACTCTCATGAAAAATCTGACATATTAACATGCAAAATTTTACAATGAAGCATAAGAAAATCCGAGTGCTTATGTAAGAAACAGTCAGCAACAACTACAAAAAAATCTGGAGTTTTAAAAATCCCTATGCATTTGAAACCGTGAACAATTGTTGCCAAATTCATATTTCCAGATTTTATGGCGTTTGGGGACGAGGGAAAGGAGAAAGGCTTCTGGATGTGAAAACAAGATGCCTATAATCAGACAGAACCCCTCCTCTTCCTCACAGCTGAATGTTTGCTCCTATGGGCCCCAAGGAAAAGCTTTCTTAGGATCTGGTCAATATGTGGCACTTTGTAGAGAGTTAAAAATATAGGCAGGATGAGATTACACCCTGATGGGGATTGGCATTTGCCTTGAGCATGGGCACCACAGGGTACATAAACACAAAAGAAAAATGGGATACTTTTATTCCCGGAATTTCAAGTTTGGGAATATATAGCATAGCACAAAGCAGAACCAAGAAAAAGGCCTGGCATCAAGTGAATGCTGTAAAGGACTTGCAGGCACCCCCGCTGGGGACAAGGCTTACTCCAGCTCCGGGGGCTAACAGATCAGCCCGGGCCCCTTTCTGGCAGGAGGAGCCAGATTTATCAAATGTGATCCTGGCAAATGGGGCGGCAGCTGTGGTGAGGACAAGCCCAGCTGAGGCGAAAGCACATACAGCCCTTCTGGCTAAAGGAGGAGAAGTTAAGTGGCATCTTCTGGGGGCAGTTTATCTTCCCACATGTTAATAACATATAAATAGTTTCCCTCTTGAAATCCCCACACTGCTGTGATTAAGGAGCTGTCCCCTGAAGCTGCAGCTTCCCTTTCTTCCTCTTTTAGAAATATTTTAAAGGAATTATTCAGGCCCTGATGTTTTAGGGAAAGAGGGAAAATATGATATAAACTATATCTTGTCACTGACTTCATGATTTCATTTCTATCGCTCATCCTTGCATTCTGTTGCACTCAGTAAACTGAAGCATTTACTAAAGAAGTATGCATATATAGAGGAACAATTTTTAGGTAATAGACACTGTCATCAAGCGTGGTTATTAAAAATGTGGCTTCCCTTTTAGTTATTGGCCAAAAGTGCCCATGTGTTTATTTCAGAAATATTTATTAAGCACTTAATAAATAAGTGCCAGTGCTGTGCTAGGCCATGGGGATGTGTAGATCCATCCAACAGGGCCCCTGTTTGCAAAAGGTCCATAGTCTAGTCCACTGAGCTGTTTGTAGTCCCAGATATGATGATTTAATGTCTGCGTCTGCATTTCTTAAATGTTCCAGAGGTGATTCTTATGCACAACCAAGGTTGAGAAGTGTCCTCAAATTATATCAACATCTTGTGCAGTGCCTTTCTTATTTAAAATCTTCTAGAGTAATATGGAGGTGCAATTAGGTTGGCTGCTCTTGTCACCTAAATTCAGCTTCCATTTCCTATGTGGACGACTCAGTCCCAGGACAGGCAGAATTGACTCTTAAGATGCCGTAAGCAGTAGTATGTAGTCGAAACCGGGACACTACTGAGATGCTCTTAATAATTCTGATGGGAAATGGGCATAAATTGGGATAGTCCCAAGAAAACCAGGACAGTTGTTTTATCCCATTAAAAGATTAAAGTACAGTGTATACACAGAATAATTTACATACATTTAAGAAGTCTGGAGTACCGTATAAACACATACATTAAACCAGACCCCATGACTGTCTAAAAAGCTGTATGTCAAAACATGTGTTCTGGGGCGCCTGGGTGGCTCAGTTGGTTAAGCGACTGCCTTCGGCTCAGGTCATGATCCTGGAGTCCCGGGATTGAGTCCCGCATCGGGCTCCCTGCTCAGCGGGGAGCCTGCTTCTCCCTCTGACCCTCTTCCCTCTCGTGCTCTCTATCTCTCATTCTCTCTCTCTCAAATAAATAAATAAAATCTTTAAAAAAAACATGTGTTCAATACAGATATATTAATTTTTATGAGTTGTTTCTGAAGGACACAGGAATGAACTTCATTAGTGTAGAAATACATAAGGTCCATTTATATATCTTTTTCTAAGAAAACTTGTTTTTCTTGCTGATATTTCCATGAAGTCTACTCTGACACAAACAGGATTTTTTAAAAATAAACCTGGGCAGATATTTATTACGCCTGGAATCTGTGGTGACTGTTTCTCTTGATTAAACAGTCTTTGCATACTTAAAATTTTTCCCCCCTTATTGCTTTTAGACTCCCTATTTTCCTTCCTCTTAGGAATACTGAGGTCTGACATGCAATTCACTACATAGTTGTTTTTAACGAACGAAGGGATATCATCGAAGAATCTGATGCCAAATTACATACATGCTTGTTGGCAACTTACAGAGGGAGGCCGTGGGTATGTATCGTAGGGCGGTGGAGGGCTGTCCTGTTTGGGTGTTGATGGAGTGTCTGCTTCTTCCTTGTCACTCTCACTCCAGTAATCTGTAAATTCACACACATCGAGACAATAACATTCTATTAAATGTTTCTAGCCATATTTTCAGGAACATACACTACCAGCTAACACAAGGAAATTTAAATTCCACTCCTACACCCTGCTCCCCAGCACCTCCTACTCCTACTTATTTTTGGCTGAGTTTTGAGGAAGAAGAAAGAGTACAATCACCTAATTCCAACCTTTAAAGCAAGCGATTATACATAGCTACAATTTTAAGGAGTTAAGAAAAAGACACTGCATAAGCCAAATCGGGTTTAGGGTGCTTTAGATTCTAGGCCAAATTATCCCGAACCTTCAATTAATGAATGATATCACATGATGCCTCTGAAAGGTGTATCATTTTACCCTAAAGATGAACACTCGAAGAAAAACACTACACACACACACACACACACACACACACACACACACACACACACACAAACACTGCTGTAGATCTCTACAGATATGAACAGCTCTAAAAATAACGTTCCCAATTCTTTTTTCTGGCTTCAATTCACTGGTTATCTAACAATCGCTGTTTCCAGAGTCATGCTGACATGAATCTCTATAACACCATACTCCCACCTCTACTTGGAAACACATGGCAAATCCTGATTCTTGCCAAATGCAAAAGGGCAAATTTGCTGATGTGGGCCGCAAGTTCCAAACTTCCAGAACTACTTAAAAGGGTAGAAAATGTAAGCCGCTAGATTTGGCAGACCTCAGGCAAGAGGGAAGGGAAAAAACTGAGAGATAAATCAGTTAAGTGAAATACAGCACAAAGGCCAATAATCAGAACCTGTCCCACTAATATCTTAACCACTCTTAACTCTGGGTTAATTCTTTACAAGATTTACAAAGAAAAACCTACAAGTATTACCCATATGAATCTCAGATGGTAAAGGAAGAGAAGAAGTATTGAGACATATGTTCCTTATTCTTATGAAAATCCAAATCACAAAAGAACCATCATAAGGCCTAAATGATATTGAGATTTAGTTGAAAAATCATGGCACATACTTTTACAGGAACCCCTCTCCACCCAGGAATTCCTATACTGTAATATTTATATAAATTTTCCTTGTGATACTTATTAATAAATATAGCTAATATTAAGTACTTACTATATATGCTGAATAGAAATTAGTAGAGCTGGGATTTGAACTAAGAAATCACCTTACCCTAAACCTTGAAGGGACTCCTTTGTATGACATAGTGGGAGAATTTAATTTGACATATATTCACGATGCTTAAAAAATTTTTTAAAATATTTTTATCTATTTGTCAGAGAGAGAGAGAGAGAGAGCGCACAAGCAGGGGAAGTGGCAGGCAGAGGGAGAGGGAGAAGCAGGCTCCCTGCTGAGGCTCAATCCCAGAACACTGGGATCATGACCTGAGCTGAAGGCAAACACTTAACTGATTGAGCCACCCAGGCGTCCCTATACATGACGCTTTAAGCCCCCCTCCTCCCACTGCTCTATTACTCGGGCTATCATGAACAGCAATTCTTTAGCAATGGAGATTATTATATTCAGGTCTCAAAATGCAAAAACTTTGAAAATGCTATTCCTACTTCAATTACTCCCTTTGACTAAAAGATAAGCAGAAACTAGTTAATCTAAATTTGTGTCGGGTATTTACAATGGACCATGCTGGTGACAGCCAGTATACTAAGTTTCCCCTCAAATATAAATTGATGTAGTTGCCCAGAGATGTACCCAACAAACAATGGTGGGAAAAGCATGAACTATATAGCTGGGCAGATGTAGGTTCAATTCTTGGCTGTACCATTTACCATCTCTGTGCTCTTGTGATGGTTACTAAACCTGAATCTCTTTCAACATCTGTAAAAGGGGGCTAATGATAACCACCTTTCAGAGTTGTGTGTATGTGTGTATGTGTGTGTGTGGGTACTAAATAAGGTAATATATAGTCAAGTGTTTCGCACCTTGACAGCACTCAATAAATATTAGGACCCCTGATCTTCTTGGGTGGATTTGTAGGTAGCATGCTAGGACAGTCTGACCCAGATCACATAGGAGATAGATGCCTTGTGTTTATCTTCTTGGACATTTTTTTTTCTTGTAGCAAGTTTCAGCAATGAAAAGTGAATTCTGAAGTTCTGGGATCTGGGTTAGGTAGTTCTGTGGGAGCTTGAAATACTACAGGAAAGTCACTGCTGGAGGTGAAGGGATCAGCAACCGCCATCCCATCCCTAAGCGGTGGTTTACTAAGATCACTTTGTTTTTACCCTTTCCACTATTTCATGAAACTGTGGCACCTGTGTTGAGTTTCTCCTTGACCTCTGCACTGATACCTTGGGGGGTCTCAAAGAATTAGTACCTCCAGTGGTCCTTAGCATGTTGAGAAGGAGAGGACTGCCATTTTATACAATTCTCTATAGCTATCACTACAAGTGATAGATGTGGGAGATTCTCTCTCTCTCCTTTTCCCCCTCAGCTGAATTAGGAAGAATTCTAGTCCACTATTTGATGTAATTCTGGGTTTACTAAAAAGTACCATCAATCTATAGCTTTCTTGGGTTGCTAAAGAAAAGACTGAAATCCCACCTTGTAAATTAGCTTCATTTCTCACAGTAAGTTGTGTGTCTTTGAGAGAGCAATGCCAGAGAGGAACCTACACAGAAAATTCAATTATGGTTTATTTGGGGTTTATGTGGAAAATTACAGGCACACCGTTTGCTCAGAGGCTGAAACCAGTTTGATCTGCATTCTAAGAGCAAATTATTTTTTTTAGCTTTCTATTTAGCACAAAATAAATGGGAACTCTTAATGTCTCTTGTAGTGGTATTCAATTTTATAAGTAACTAATCATGAATAAACAGTGCTGTCAATAGAACAGGAACATTTTCACTTTACTTCTCATGTCGATATAAAAGGAAAATTTGAAAAAAAGAATGACTCTTTCATCTAAAACTACGAAAAATATAATATATTTCGTTCATTTTTATGTGATTAAAGCTTTAGAAAGATCTTATGCATGACAGAAAATAATGTGTCATGAACGTCTGACTTGAAGGTGGAAAAATATAGAAAAATGATTAGCAGACAATTAGCCAAATTGTGATCTTGGCATAATTTAGTGTAACCCTGTTTTCTCTAAGTACAACAATAAATAATGAAAGAGAAGCCCATATCCTTTACACTTCCATAGCTACAGACAGCAATTCACTAAGCTTTTATTTAAATCAATATAAGAGTCATTTCTAAGCTGCACTGGCTACTTAAATAAAAAGTGCTTGGCAGTTGTTACTCCTTTACATGTTTGTGAATGTTTCCCAAACCTCAAAGAGCTATATTTTGTATGAAGTTTAACTTCAGTACTGAGAACGGTTCTCGGGAGATGTCAAAGAACTGTAGAGAAGTGTGGAGTAGATACATGCATCCAGTTGCTTTCTCTACAGAATATACCATAAGACCTAATTGTGCAGAAGGTAGGAAGTGTCGTATGCTTCTGACCTAGGTCAGAGTGCCTGAGGAATATATACTCTATGTGGAAATCCAAATTACTTCAGAGATTCTGCTTGCGATGTGCTAGCAAGAGAGAGGTGAATTATTAACTATTAGCTTCTGCCAATGAATGCCTACCACTCCAGAAGGCACTAAAATATATACTCACATGACCAGGGCAGCATGAATCCATGGACTGAATACTTATTGGAACCTGCATGTGCAATATAACTTACCAGTTCCTTAATCCACAATGAAATTCGACTATATAACACCAGGTACAAAGAAAATTCACTAAAATCAAGACCATGCTAAACTTCAAAGTGATAAAATACAAGAGTTGAGCCTGAAAATCCAAGATTCCTTATTTATGTAAATTACGTTTTTTTCAAAGATTCATTTTTTTTTCTATCCGTACATTGCTCATTTTTAATTCTTGCATCTTAAAAGAATCAGAAACAAAACTGTATGCACCTATAAAGAACTCTTTTATGACTTTAAAAAAATGCGAAGAGGAAGGCTAGTATTTTTTTTAGTACTCTGAACACAATTTTAGGCCTATAAGTTAAGTTGAAGTATGAAAGGTTTATTCCTTAAAAAAACTTTTAACAATGAAAAAATGTGGCTTGATAACTGGCCTGACATTTCCTAGTCCTGGCTGGGATTTGCCTGTGCACACTGATTTGATGGAGATTGCTTCCACGTTATTTGTGGAAGTATCCATGCTGCTTCCACTCTCAGGAATGCTTTATTTCGTTACTTCTTTAACTCTACTTCCTTCTCATCCTGTGAGAACGAGTTCAAATAATGGAGTCGACATAAAGCCTTTTCCCATTCCCCTCCTGGAAGCAATCTCTCCAGCCGAATTTCCACAGAACTTGATTTGTACTTTCTTACATTTCATTTTCTGTATTATATTAAGAGTACCCTTTCTACTAGAATTCAGTGTAATTTCAGGCAGAATGGGTGCCTATTTCACCTTAATTTAATCAGAGTGCTAGTTGAAGGCATTACACAGAAAAGTTTCATATTGAATAAAATATCTTCTCTTCCCCTCTTTTGCTGACTTTGCATCAGGCTCATAATCACTTCTTCTAGCAAGTTATTTCCTCATTAATTCTGCCTCCTTCCCAGGTTTTTTTTTTTTAATTTTGCATCCACTTAGCAAATTTTTTGTCAGTTGTGCATTGTGCAATCATCAGGACTCATTTACTTTATGTTGCTTGTTTATTTTTCTTTTTTTGTTTTTGTTTTTCTCAAGCAATTTCAAGGGTGTATCTTTGAGATCCTCAACAAGATGATATATTCCTATTGGCAGGAACCATGTTTTGCCTTTTCTTTGAAATCTTCCTGCCCTAACTCCTAACCCTTCAGTGCTCTACCCATTCTCATTCCCTCACCCAATGGCTCTAAACCAGGGGTCGGTAAACTAAGGCCTGCAGGCCAAATGAGGCTCTCTGCCTGTTTTTACATGGCCTGTGGATCAAGAATGGTGTTTAGATTTTTAAATGGTTAAGAAATCAAAGGAAGAATATTTTTTGAAATGTAAAAAATGATACGAAATTTAATCTCAGTATCCATAAATAAAGCTTTATTAGAGCCCAGCCACATCCCTCATGTGTGTACAGCTGCTTTCATACTGTAATGGCCGACTTTGACCAGTTTAGACAGAAATCTTACGGGCTTACAAAGCCTAAAACATTAACTACTTGGCTCTTCACAGGAAGTTTGCCAACCCCCTGCCCTAAACATTTGCTGACAGTTTTGGCTGAGGTTTTACTCTGAGAGGAAACAGAAGGTTTTTAGAATTTCTCTGATTTGAGTCTCTTTTGAGACTTCCAAAACCTGCTGATGCTTCCAAGGGATGTACAATAAACACTTTTTGGAAATGTAAAGCAACTTTGGGATGGTGACTGCAACTTTCAGTAAAATTTTAATTTTGCATCATGACATTGTCTTTTGTAAATCTGAGGTCAATACCGAGGCAAGTTCCGTAAGATTACAGAGTAACAGATGAACAGAACTGAAGAACATAACCAACTGAGATAATTTATGGAAGAAGGGGTCATCCATCTGAGCTCTTCGCATACAATGCACCAACAAGGACCTGAACTTTGGCCAATATTTTGGATCAATTACAGACTTTTTAAGATTTTTTTCCTCCTTTGAAAAAAAGACTGAGAGAGACAGCAATGAACTCCACACTAGGTGCTCCAAAAATTTCAGAGTTTATTCCCCATCTGTTTAGTTTACTAGACCTTACCTATAAGACACTATGATTTGGATTCAAAGTGCCCAGAAGAGAAATAACCACAGCCTGGTGATTGCATGTTCATTCAAATGATAGTAGTGAATCACTATATAGGATAACAACGAAACAAAACAAAACCCCGTGACTCTAAAAAAAAAAAAATATTCCTTTACCTTGTTCTTGCTTAATCCTCTCTCTTTCTGCATATCCCGCAGTTAGCATATTGATTCTGTTAAGCCACCTGAAAAAAACAAATATTAAAATCAGTAATACTGCAACTTAATTTTTTATATTTTACTTCTTAAATATATTTATTTTAAGAATAAAGACGATGTGGTATATATACAATGGAATATTATTCAGCCATAAAAAAGAATGAAATCTTGCCATTTGCAATGACATGGATGGAGCTAGAGAGTATTATGCTAAGTGAAATAAGTCAGTCAGATAAAGACAAATATCATATGATTTCACTCTTATGTGGAATTTAAGAAACAAAATGAATGAAGGGAAAAAGAGAGAGACAAACCAAGGAATAGACTCCTAACTCTAGAAAACAATCTGATGGTTACCAGAGTGGAGGTACGTGGTGGGGGGGCTGGTGAAGGGGATTAGGAGTGCATTTGTCATGATGACCACCGAGTAAATGTAAAGAATTGCTGAATCAGTACATTGTATACCTGAAACTAATAAGACGGTATATTAACTATACAGGAATTAAAATAAAAAACATTATTATTATTATTATTTTTAGAGAGGGAAGGGGGAGGGGCAGAGGGAGAGGGAGAGAGAGAATCTTAAGCAGACTTCAAGCCCAGCATGGAGTCAATGCGGGGCTTGATCTCACAACCCTGAGGATCATGACCTGAGTCGAAACCAAGAGTTGGATGACTAACTGACTGAGCCATCCAGGAGCCCCCAAATTACAAAACTTAATAAAAGTATTTATTTTAAGATATTTAAGAATATAAGAAATAATTCTACATAAAAGATGTGTTCTTTGCTACTCTCGACACATGGAGTCTTCAATGAGCTATAATTTGCTGTAGTACAAATTGTTCCCACACTAAAGATGCTATTTTGATAGAAAAGTCTTAGGCAAACCTGTTCATATCTGTAATACAGAGGGTTTTAAGATGATCAGAGCCCTATCAATTCTGTTGCTCCAAATTTAGAAGCACTCCAAATATCGCTGCTGATTGTGTCTTCAGAGCAAATGCTCTTTTACAGTTACTTAATATCATACAATATATACTGATGAGGGAGAAAGTTATGGACCTTGCCTGTCAAAATAAATTTTAGTATGAAATATTAGTTTTGATGAAGGTCATTTAAGTTTAGTGATCCGGGGGAAACATGTCAGGAGTACTTTGGAAATTTGTCTCTAAATACAAGGGTATTAGGTTTTCTAAAGACAAAATGAACAAACATAATTTTAACCTCTGTTCAGATCCTGAAAATTTATTTCCACAACCAATAGTAACCTAAAAATAAATCTTTCCTCTCTCAGTAGTGCTGCTATTGCCAGTGTAGGGGCCTGCATTGTTTCAATTTCCATCTTTTGTCCCACCAGGTCTCTCCCTGTGTTCATTATTTCAGCTGTTTACACTGCATCAGATTATCAAATCATAAAATCTTTAAATTAACCTGACACTTTCCCATTGGTCCATTCTGAGCTATGATCCATATACTTTCCCAAGTCAGAAATTAAGGAAGAACCCCCCTTCCAAACTACCATAAGTTTGGAAACGATAGTATAGTTAACATCATTAAACTGTGGAATAATCTGAGCAAGATATATTTTTAAGAAAAAATTGTGTTTGAGAAATTTTTCTCCCAAGAATTTATCTCCTGTGTCAGATGGAAGATGATGTGATTTGAAGTGAGTCATATATTTCAGCATTTATGTCCAGTGGTATCCACTGTGCAGCAGATTCTTAGAATATCTTGAAAAGGGAGGAAATCTTTGTCTCTCACTGACAAAATCACATCCTGGAAATTTATGCTTTAATTTTAAGAATAAGTCACCTAAAGGCTCAACTTTATTTTGATAATACAATGTAATTATCACCTCAAGTATTTTTGGGAAGTGAAGAAGGGACTGGAACAGAAAGGGGGAAAAAAATAAAGATTGATCAAATAAATTCAGTAGCATAGAGTATACTCACACACTCCAGAAAATTACAAATGATAAGAAGTCAACGTCATGATAACCCTTAAAAATGACTCTAATCACTAGTAAAAAGTCGAAATTGAAATTCAGTCTATAGGTCATTTGTAGCGAGAAAGGGGTTGAATTTGTACTACAACTTTTAGCACTCTTGAGAAAGACTTATCTGGTGCTTTTTGGGTGAAAATGATGATAATAGCACTAGAGGAACATGTATTATTAGATTTTAATCTAGTACCTCATTTTAAAAAACATCACTGAAATTGCATTTTGTCAGGAGTTTAAAGAACAATGAGGTCTTTATGAGATGAATCAGAAAACTAAAAAGAGGCTTCCTTGATTTTTCAGTTCAACAAATTTACTAAGTGCCTGGTATATGCTGAACAATGAGCTATGTTTTGGGGGCACAAAAATGAATAAGACATAATTCCTGCCTTCAGTGCGTTCCAGAATTGCTAAATGTCACAAGACAATCGAAAATTCGACTACTGTTAGGAAGAAAAATTCTGTTCATGATAAAAACTCTTTAGAAAGCATGTGGCTTACTCAGGCCAGTGTGTACACACACAAAAGGCTGAACACTACACTGCTGTTGGTGCTGTCTTGGATAAACCTGTCCTTAAGGCCTCAGCTTGAAGAGGCTGACCTATATACTTGTTGCAGTATAATTTGGTATTTATGGGCCATTATAAACAGCAGATATATATGCAGTAACGGAGTCAAGAAATATTTAATGAGAACCTATGTCCGCAAAGTCCTGTTCCAAGCACCAAGGACATAGAGAGAAACAAAACCAAACGTCTGCCTTCACAGAGCCTACATCTTAGTGAAGGCAACAGACAATAAATAGGGATACAAATAAACATATGTCATGTTAGTATCAAGTGCCATTTACAAAAATAGCTAGGTGAAAAATTAGAAAGTCAAAGGTGCTAGGAATGGGGGTGGCTATTTTAAGAAAAACCTGTTAGGGATACAAGCACTGAATTTAATGATGGGGAAGTGCTTTAATATTAGGTCTACATTCAGCACCTTACTGTAACACTAATTTTTTTTTTAAAGATTTTATTTATTTGACAGAGAGAGACAGCGAGAGAGGGAACATAAACAGGGGGAATGGGAGAGGGAGAAGCAGGCTTCCCGCTGAGCAGGGAGCCCGATGCAGGACTCGATCCCAGGACCCTGGGATCATGACCCGAGCCAAAGGCAGACGCTTAACGACTGAGCCACCCAGGCGCCCCAACACTAATGTTTTAAAACAAGATAATATAGGTAAGGGGATATTGAGCCTAAAGGAAACATTCCCATGAAGTTGTCAATAACTAACAGAGAATAATATATTGAGAAGAAAAAAATGAGTAAGAACTATGGGAGAAATGTACAAAAAGTAATTACCAAAGAGAAATGGGTGAATCCTCACAATTGTAAGGACATACGTGCTGACATGATAAGGAATATATAGGCCAAATGAATTCAGTAAATAAGTTTCAGAATACTTGAGAAACACGATATTTTGTTTTCTTCCCACAGATTTCACAAAGACTGGCAATTTTTTTTTCATGTTTCAGTGCTCATTTCTGAGGAGGAAACAGATGGATGGGGGCCTCAAAAAGTGTTTTTGCAAATTACCTCACAATCAAACTTACAGCTGCTCAGAAAATAGAAGGTGAGATTTTAATATTCCACATGTTTATATATGTATAAATACATACATTTGGATATATGTATATGTATGTATAGATGGGTATATGTAAATTTTATAGTTCATAAAAAGGCATTTTCTATGCCTAAAAAGACCCTGATTAACATGTTTTGTGAATAATTAAGTTATGCTAATTCTTTGATAGAGGTGATTGTGTTCTAGTGTATCCATCTTGTAAGATGGGATAATGCTCATTTTTACCACTAATTCTGTTTGGTCATGATGTAAACATTTCATATTCATCCCAAGGGCACTAAGCTCAACATGCGATAAAAAAGATAGTGAGTAACTAGAATAGTAGAATTATAAAATTATTAAAACACAAAATAGAGCATTACAACCTGCCCCCTCACCCCATGAGCATGTGAATGAACATTTTCATTTTGAGAACAAATTAAGGAGAAAAGGCTCTCCAAGTTCTAATTGCCTAGTGTGAAATTTCAAAAATGGTAACATAAATCAAAAGAAGATTATGGCAAGTACAAGAAAGACTTAGTTCGCTTATTAATAATAACATATATTTTTAAAAGATTTTATTTATTTATTTGACAGAGAGAGGGAACACAAGCTGGGGAGAGGGAGAGGGAGAAGCAGGCTCCCCGCTGAGCAGGGAGCCCGATCCCAGGACCCTGGCACCATGACCCGAGCCGAAGGCAGACACTTAGCCCACTGAGCCACCCAGGCGTCCCAATAATAACATATTTTATCAAGTGTTTTGAACACTTGTTTGCCATTTCCTTGTATTCATTTCCTTGCTTTGGACAAACCGTGCCTTTACTCCCACGTGTCAAAAAACAACGATTATTTATAAAAGCATATCAAGTGCTCATTTAGTGTGCTTAAGCGAATTTATAAAGTTGCACCATTTTGTGCCTAAAAATATCTGGATACTGGGGCGCCTGGGTGGCTCAGTCAGTTAAACGTCCGAGTGTTGGTTTCAGCTCAGGTCATGATGTCAGGGTGGTGAGACTGAGCCCCGCATGGGGCTCCGCACTCAGTGCAGAGTCGGCCTCAGACTTTCCGTCTCCCTCTGCCCACCCTGCTCTGTCTCTCAAATAAATAAAGAAATCTTAAAAAAAAAATATCTGGATACTAAATTTTTAGGAGATACACAAAGAAAGGTAAATGGGCTAAGAGTCCAAAGTATATAAAAGGAATGTATATTGCCAGCAAACACTTAAATAACACTTACAATTGAACAGGGACTATTCTAAGCCCTTTATGTGTGCTCATTTGCTCCTCACAATAGTCCCCTGAGTGGAGACGGTTATTATGTCCATCTTTTTCAAGGGGCCAATACCTGGCATAAATTGGTCCAGTTCTATAGCCAAGGTCACACAGCTAGTAAGCACGACAGCTGGGATTTGGACAGTCTGGTTCTAAAGTCTATGCTCTTAATCACTATGCTATGCTGCCTCTCCCTAACTGTTGGCAAGTTATATAGGTCATATGGAAGACCTGTGGAAGACCTGTGAAAAGGAAAAATCTGAATCTTAAATCTAGTTTCTCTGACTCTAGAAATGAGAGAGGGGAAAGGAAGGAAAAGGAAGAAAGCATCAAATTCATAAAAGCTAAAGTGGAAACCTGGAGCAGAATGTTGTAGATGATGGGAATATATACATATATATATATATATATATACACACACACATATATATATATAATATGTATATGTAAAAAAATATATATATTTCTCACTCCCTCCCAGCAGCCCCAAATAACCATGTAGCCATCTAGTCACTTGGCAGTATAATCTTTTCCACTGATAGAAGAAAGACGACAAAAAGAAACACTAACTTTGCTTAGGACTGAATAATTGAGATGGATGTTGTGCCATAAACACTCAGCACTTGGAAAAGTTAGTTTTTTTGGGGGGTGATTATCTTTTCCCCCCACCTGGAAATAAATTTGAAGACACATTCTTGAAATGGACTTAAAAAATTTTTTTTTTTTTTACAGTGGATTTCTTTTTTTGTCTATATATGGATTCAGGCACATTTTTGGTAAACTTGATAAACAGTCAACAAGTTTATTTTGATCTTTAAAATGCTGTTCTCTGAAATTAGCTAAGGCTAGATGCAGCTATGCCTGAGTCCATTTTATTTTAAACTGATCGATCACAGTGACATTATTCTCTAATATTAATGTGGAAAGCTTAGAATTCTAAGCCTAACTGACTTTCTAAGTGCTTTGAAATTTAAGTAACATTTTACCTGTTCATATCATCAAGATGCTCAGCAGCAAAATAAAAGCTTTTGATTTTAGGATGACAGGCTTTGAATGCACTGTAAAAGGAAACAAAGTACACTTATTTTATTTCAAATTGGGAAATAAGTTAGAACCAAATAATTTTTATGGGTAAAATTACCTCAACATCTAACCCGAGTTCACATATATAATGCTTCTGCCATGATGACAGAAATCACTAAAAAATTCAATTTTCTGCCCACAAAACTGTTTTCTTATTATCTCAATTTGAAAGCATTAGACAAGCAACCTATAATTTAAAAGCTACAAATTAAAAAACAAAACAAAACTAAACAAAACAACCGCCCTTCCTTTCTCTCCCTCTCCCCAGATAAAATCAACTTACTATTTCTTGCGGCATTCACTGGCTCTATCGATTTTAAATTCAGGCAGACTGATGAATCCTTCTGCTTTTTCATCCTGAAGAGGCAACACTCTTATTTAGGGTGTTATACACAAAGTGTTGAAGCTGATAATACTATATAACTATGCCTTAAAAATTTATACTAATAAATCTGTTCATTTAATTTCTTAAATTTGACATTTTAGAGATTAGAATTCCACTCTTATTTGTTATATTCCTTTAAATTAAAGATATACTTTGAACATTTAGAATACTACAAATTAAGATATACACAGAAATTTTGAAAACTCCTTATATTAGAATGAAGATAGAAAATTCTTTAAATTGTCAAAGTGAAACATGCTTTATAAGTAATTTTCTCACCAGAATGTATATATACTTCCATAACATATAAAATAGCTTCAGTCCACATTCACCATTCATAATTTTCTATAATTTTTAATGTTCAGATGTAAAATACATTGAAGTTTACTAATTCAATTCCTTTTCTGCCTCCAAAAAATCTTTTATCAAACCTGAATTAAATATGCTGTGTAATGAAAAAATGTTCATCATCATTAGCCATCAGGGAAATTCAAATCAAAACCACATTGAGATACCACCTTACACCAGTTAGAATGGCAGAAATTGACAAGGCAAGAAACAACAAATGTTGGAGAGGTTGTGGAGAAAGGGGAACCCTCTTACACCGTTGGTGGGAATGCAAGTTGGTACAGCCACTTTGGAAAACAGTGTGGAGGTGCTTCAAAAAATTAAAAATAGAGTACCCTATGACCCAGCAATTGCACTCCTGGGTATTTACCCCAAAGACACAGATGTAGTGAAAAGAAGGGCCATATGCACCCCAATGTTTGTAGCTGCAATGTCCACAACAGCCAAACTATGGAAAGAGCTGAGATGCCCTTCAACAGACGAATGGATAAAGAAGATGTGGTCCATATATACAATGGAATATTACTCGGCCATCAGAAAGGATGAATACCCAACTTTTACATCAACATGGATGGGACTGGAGGAGATTATGCTAAGTGAAATAAGTCAAGCAGAGAAAGTCAATTATCATATGGTTTCACTTATTTGTGTAACATAGGAGATAGCATGGAGGGCATTAGGAGAAGGAAGGGAAAAATGAAGGGGGGGAATCGGAGGGAGAGATGAACCATGAGAGACTATGGACTCTGGGAAACAAACTGAGGGTTCTAGAGGGGAGGGGGGTGGGGGGATGGGTTAGCCCGGTGATGGGTATTAAGGAGGGCACGTACTGCATGGAGCACTGGGTGTTATATGAAAACAAGGAATCATGGATCACTACATCAAAAACAAATGATGTAATGTATGGTGATTAACATAACATAATAAAATAAAATTAAAAAATAAATATGCTGTGTATTCAAGATTTTATAAATGAAATAAGTTAATTTGATCTTCAAATATCTACCTTGCTATGAATGCTATATATATAAAAGTCATTTTCTACTTGGACAATTGAATGAAATCCATAAAATCCTCCTCTAGAGCTCTAATGTGGCAAGGAAAAACAAGATAGGAGAATTACCCAAAATGTTATGTTTGATACAAGTCATTCCAACTAGGCTAAGACTACCTTTGGCTAAATCCTTTCATTGTTGTTGTCCCTTTCATGGTCATGACCAAGCTCCTCAGACTTTTACTCCCCCAAACTTCGATCTGTGCTGTTATCAGTCCATGGCTCCTTACATATCAAGTTCAAGTGAGATTACACCCCCATCTGCTATCTCAAGGAAAAAAAATACAGATTCTCAATTCTTTCAGTATGTATGTATAAATGTAAAACTTAATAAAAATCTGATTATTACTGACAGTGACTGAAATGTATATTATAAAAAAGAGAGTATTATAACTTTTTCAATATTTTTCAATATGTGAGTATTTTTTTCTTCCAACCTTGGGGTAAACACAATAGTTTCAAATCTCTTTTTCAACTTTAACATCTGCTATACCAACCTTGATGTCTTTAACTTAAAAATTCTAAATTTTGAACAATTTAAAATATATTTGGGGTAGATATGATTTTCCCATAATGATGTGATAAGGGATTTTTACATTTCTCCTAAAAAATCACACTAAGTTATTCTTATAATATATACTATGGAATTATTCATTCACTTCTCACAAGGCTAACACAGTCACAACTCTGAAACTTAGCTACTGTTCAATAAAAAAGGGTCTCAGTTTTTTATCACTTAAATTTTGAAAGATAGAATATAATATAGCATACAGCAGACAAATCTACAAGTGAACTTAAAGAGAAACGAAGACTATATTTTGATACTCTTTGGTTGGCATATAAAAAGTATTTGATATATGTTAAGTGAAAATATTGGTAAAATTGTTTTTTATATCTAAAATAAGATATACTTAGTGAAATAGAAGACTTTTTAGGTAATTGTGTGATTGGCACAAATAATATCAAAAGTGCAGAAAATAACCAAATCCTTCTATATAATATAGGCATTTATATTAAACAGCAAAATGTTACTTTAAGATTTTACAAATGAAATAAGAGGTCAATTTGAAAAATATTACTAACAGCATACTACTGAGTACTGAGTGTATGCCAGCCATTGTTCTAAGTGGGCTTTACATGAACTGATTCATTTCATCCATACGATAGCCAAGTGAGCTAGGTACTATTATTACTCCCCCTTTTAGCAAATGAGGAAACTGATGCTTAGTAACTCACGTGGGTTAAGTCTATTCTCTTAACCATAACAAACATAACTCCTCTAGACATTTTATGTTATAATAATAAGCATAATTACGTTGTTAAATTATATTTCAAAAATTAATCTTCAAATGCAAATTGATGAATGTCTTAACATGACAGTATTCCTGTAAGACTATTTAGCCAGCACACTATATTAAACCATGTCCATTTTTTGAGAAAACAAGTTAACAATAGGAATTATTGTAAAAAAATATCTTAATAAGGTCAACTGATAGATGGGTATGGCAAAAGAATGAAAATAAATGCAGAGTCAAAGAAATATCAACGAATAAGGTATACTCTTGTGGTAGGTTATGATATAACTACTCCGGATAAAGATCTGTTTACTGCAAATGAAACAGGAAATCATAAGAACAATTTAAATATACTATATACACTGCCCTTCCCCCACCCCTCGAATGGGCCAAATGAAATGAATACTTGCAGATTTTCAAAACTAGTCTCCCAGTTCATGTATTCTTTAAGAAAAACAAATTCATGTGCTCTTAATTTACTTAAATTATTAAATAACTTCCTTCCCCCAAGAAAACAGAAAAAATTTTAAAACTTTGAGCAAAAGTGAGACATTTAAAAAAAATCTATTTCAAATTCCATGTATAATCCTTCTAGTTAAGCTATTGCTGGAATTAGTTTGGAATTTTGAATTAGATACACAGAATTTTATCTGTGTTGTGTTTTAGATATGTTGCCACATTTGAATAACTGAGACAACTATCTTTCCAGAACCCCAAAATGCAATCATTTTAAGAAGGCAGATTAAAAAATAACTAGCAGAACTCTCCCAAATAAGGATTAAGGTGGTTATATGATTTTAAATTTTAAGTCCTCAAATGGTGATTCTTTGGGTTAAAGACAGAAAAATGGATGAGAAAACAAAACCCTCTGTCTTACCTCCTCATTAATATACCAATATAGGGATGCATCCTTTAGGACAAACCAATATTTCTTCCATTTCTGTGAAAAATAACTCTTTGCATCTTTCTTTTTCCAAAGCCAACCTTCACAGTCACCCCGGCCAAGATCTTTGCAAGAAATTCGTCTTTTGCTCTTGCCAGCTATAGGACCTAAAGATCATAGTAGGTAAAAATGCTCTTTAAATTTTACACAAGTGTGAAGGTAGAAGATTACTCTATAGCTCATAAAGATAGGTCTAGGTACTTAACCTTAAAAATTCTTATTTTTACACTGTATCAGAATAGAAAACTATGGAAATCTTTAATACTTTTTCCCCCACCTAAGTGACATGCAATGGAATCAGGAGTATGTAATCCCAGTCTCAAAAACAGTCAAGACCATTTATTGTAAAAGGTACCCCTTCATCATAATTGACCTGAAAGAGAAGCTGGTCTTGGCAGTTCTTGCTAGGGGTTTGTGATCTTCTGAACCACAATGGGCTCAGGCAAGAGAGGATGCGTGAAGTATGCTGATTATCACAGGGCAAACTAAGCAGCTATATATTTCATTTCATTTCATTTCATTTCATTTCATTTCATTTCATTTCATTTCATTTCA